CGAGGCGGGTGGATCACGAAGTCAAGAGATCGAGACCATCCTGGTCAACATGGTGAAACCCTGTCTCTGCTAAAAATACAAAAAATTAGCTGGGCATGGTGGCACGTGCCTGTAATCCCAGCTACTCAGGAGGCTGAGGCAGGAGAATTGCCTGAACCCAGGAGGCGGAGGTTGCGGTGAGCCGAGATCGCGCCATTGCACTCCAGCCTGGGTAACAAGAGCGAAACTCCATCTCAAAAAATAAAAACACCTTGTAGGTTTCACACATCTACCTACAAATGAAGCATGCCAAGTTATCTGCCTGCTGGCTGGTGTTCACGCCAAGGTCCCCCTCCATCAGCATGGTTGTTCCAGAGCTGGCTAGTCCCCAGAAAGCCTCAAAGCTTCCTTTAGGAACACCCTGCCCCCAATAGACCTACCAGTGAAATCTGATATTTAAATTTCCCTACATATTACACTCCTGAAAGGTAGCCACCAGCCACAGGATTTTAATTGCATCAATTTAAATTCCCCTGAATTTAAATTGATGCAATTAAAAATTATGTTCCAGCTAGGCACAGCGGCTCACGCCTGTAATCCCAGCATATTGGGAGGCAGAGGCAGGCAGATCACATGAGGTCAGGAGTTCGAGACCAGCCTGGCCAACATGGTAAAACCCCATCTCTACTAAAAACACCCTGGGCATGGTGGCACACATCTGTATTGAACCCAGGAATCGGAATTTGCAGTGTGCGGAGATCATACCACTGCACTCCAGCCTGGCTAACAAGAATGAAACTCTGTCTCAAAAAAGAAAAAAGGTAATTCACTATCTAAATATTACATTTACTTAATGGAACTCAAACCAAAGGAAAAATGCTCTACTGAGACTTTAAAGGCTATTTGAGAACTTGCATCAAATCTTTGGGCTAGATCAAAAGGAAAAGACAACGCCCCAGAGTAGCAGGGCTGCCTAAGGTGGGGCTCGCAAAGGCAAGCCCCTCCCTTTGTGAGTCCACATGTTTATGTGCCCAGAACTGGGCTAAAGGTGTGTAGTATAATACCCACAATAACCCTAACACAGGCACTACTACTCTCTCCATTTTACAAATAAGAAAATGAGGCCGCCAGGGGGCAGTAGCTCCCTGTAATCCTAACATTTTAGGAGGCTAATGTGGGAAGATCACTTGAGCTCAGGAGTTCGAGACACCCGCCTGAGCAACACAGTGAGATCTTGTCTCTACAAAAAAAAAATTAAAATTAGCCAGTAATGGTGGTGAGCCTGGAGTCCCAGCTACTTAGATGTGAGGCAAGAGAATTGCTTTAGCCCGGGAGATAGAGGCTACAGTGAGCCATGATTGCACCACTGCACTGCAGCCTGGGAAACAGAGTAAGACCTTGTCTCAAAAAAAAGGAAAAAAGAAAACACAGGTTGAACAAGGTTAAGGAACGTGCCTAAAGCCACATACCACCTGGCAAGAGGTAGAGCTGGGACTCAAACCCAAGCCATGAGCTTCCTTGGACTTACAATGTGCCAGCCATGCCACCAGCCATTCGCTACACTTGATTTAGCCTCATTTAGCCTCAGAACAACCCATGAGAAAAGTGGGGAAGAGAAACGTTAAGCAGTGTGCGTCAGGTCACACAGCTAGCAAGGCGCAAAGGCCAAATCCACCCCCAGGCCTAGGACTGCAGAGCTGCCCATAACCACTGCTGTCACCAGCCTTAAAAGCCCCTATCCCAGGGCCGGGCGCAGTGGCTCACGCCTGTAATCCCAGCACTTTGGGAGGCCGAGGCGGGTGGATCAAGAGATCGAGACCATCCTGGTCAACATGGTGAAACCCCGTCTCTACCAAAAATACAAAAAATTAGCTGGGCATGGTGGCGTGTACCTGTAATCCCAGCTACTCAGGAGGCTGAGGCAGGAGAATTGCCTGAACCCGGGAGGCGGAGGTTGCGGTGAGCCGAGATCGCGCCATTGCACTCCAGCCTGGGTAACAAGAGCAAAACTCTGTCTCAAAAAAAAAAAAAAAAAAAAAAAAAAAAAAAAGCCCCTATCCCTTCAACAGTGTCTGAACTGAGAACATGTGACCATTCTAACTGTCTAAGATGGTGGGGATTTAGGTGTCCTCACCCCTGCTAGACTGTGACCCGTAAAGGCAGAGGCTGAATTTTCCACGCATCGGTTGCCCTCCTGGTGCTAGTGCTGTGCTTCTTGGTGGTGTCCATCGAAGCCCTGTTAAATTCATGGGCTTGGCTGTAATGAGCCGGGAGGCTCCTCTTTCAGCTTGGAGTGTTGGCTCAGATGTCCTTAAAGGGCTCCCCATCCTAGTACAGTCACTCTCCAGTGTCCTGTAGTTTGGGTCACGCCCGTGTGACCAAGCCTTCTCTTCACAGGCCTACCCCTACCACCACTCCCACCCACTCCTTTGGCAGTCATGCCCTGCACCTGAGGCTCACCTGCTCACTCATGAGGGGCATAGCCAGGCATCCTGCTCACCAGTCATCTGGCCAAGGCAGCCACTTAGAAACAATATGCAATTGGCCAGGCCAACTGGCTCATGCCTGTAATCTCAACACTTTGTGAAGCTGAGGTCAGGAGTTCGAGACCAGCCTGGCCAACATGGTGAAATATCATCTCTACTACAAATACAAAAATTAGCTTGGCGGGGCGTGGTAGCTCACGTCTGTAATCCAAGCACTTTGGAGGCCAAGGCAGGCGGATCACCTGAGGTCGGGAGTTCAAGACCAGCCTGACCGACATGGCGAAACCCCGTCTTTAAAAAAAAAAAAAAAACAAAAAACGCCGGGCGCGGTGGCTCAAGCCTGTAATCCCAGCACTTAGGGAGGCCGAGGCGGGTGGGTCACAAGGTCGAGAGATCGAGACCAACCTGGTCAACATGGTGAAACCCCGTCTCTACTAAAAATACAAAAAATTAGCTGGGCATGGTGGTGCATGCCTGTAATCCCAGCTACTCAGGAGGCTGAGGCAGGAGAATTGCCTGAACCCAGGAGGCGGAGGTTGCGGTGAGCCAAGATCGCACCATTGCACTCCAGCCTGGGTAACAAAAGCAAAACTCCGTCTCAAATAAAAAAAAAAAATTAGCTGGGTGTGGTGGTGCACACCTGTAGTCCCAGCTACTCAGGAGGCTGAGGCAGAAGTGCTTGAACTAAGGAAGCAGAGGTTATACTGAGCTGAGAGTGTGCCACTGCACTCCAGCCTAGGTGACAGAGCAAGACTGTCTCAAAAAAAAAAAAAAAAAAAAAAAAAAATCTAGTAACTGTTGGAACCTGGGTGAAAAAAAGACAACACGTATAAACTGGCTATTCATCATCCTGAAGAAGTAAATAAAAGCCCAGCCTTCCACAGGTTGATTTAAACCAAGACTTTCTTTATTCAGGAGAGGTGTGGGAAGAACACTGGATCTGGAGTCAGAAGACCTGGGTGGGGCTGTCTCTGGAGCTCCTGGAGCAGGATGTCTTTACACAGTTACTCAACTCTTGAAACTGCCATTTCCTCCTCCATACAGGTAGAGGTGGCCTTCCTGATCATCAACCTCAGAGGGAAGCTGGGCAAACCAAGTGAGACGAAACAGGTACAAGCTCTTTGCAAAACGGGGGGGGGGGGGGGGGGGGGGGGGGAGCCCCAGGTCCCCAGCCAATACGAAGCAGAGCTGATTCAGAGACCTGATGCAGGCCGTCTGTCTCCAGTTACCTCCATTATGTTTGCCCCGCTTTCCCCACCTCCAGAGTCGATGGGGCCAGGACAGCCACACAGCCAAAGTCAAAGGGGCAGGGCTCCCCGCAAAGACGTTGCCTCTCTGGAAAAGTCAAAACCGACCTTGAGGTCAGGAAAGGCCCTCGACCAGGCCAGAAGATGAGACTGAGGGTTGAGGAGTTCCATTAACCCAGGACTTGCTATATGCCCAGCCTTCCGGGAGATGTCAATGTCTACGTGAAAGTAACTTGCTTCTCTTGGACTTAGCTTGAGCCCAAGGTCAATCTGTGATGCCCAACTCCTAAACGTGAGGCACCCACCACCAAAACAGCAGCTCTCACTCCTGGCCAATTGCATCAAGCACGGTAGGACTGGTCGAAGGCCATAGTGCCTGTGTGCAGTGGCTGAAAACCTAGACTCCTTGTCCTCACCTAGCTCATGCACAAATGCCAGCCTGCATCTGCTTCTGATTCTGATTCTGCCGAAGGGAACTGCAGAGTAACCTTGAGGCTGCCCTCCCCACCTCCTATGGGAAATGAGCTTGTTCATGATCTCCAGCCTCCAGCTTCCGCTGGGGGCTTGGATCTATCCACTCAGTACCTGGTGGAGGAAGCCGGGGGGTGCACTAGAAGGACAACCCTTTGCCCCTACTGTGTAAGATGCTTTCAGGCCCAACAGACCACTGATTCCCTTTTCTTGATAGTAAACTGTTAGTGGCACACAGTATTATCTATTCTTCGTTTCAACACCTGCCCTCCCCTAAACCGAAGCAGTGCCCCGAAGACCGTAGCTCTGCAGCCTCCTCCCACGGAGGCACCCACCGAGGGGCTCGCTCGGCTCTGGACATCTCCCCTTCACCTCTGGGGGTTTTGGTTAGCGAAGCACAACCGCCGAGGTAACGATCCCGAATGCTCGAGGAGGCTAAGCAGGACCACGGGGCTGAGACTCCGAGATGCTCGGGTGAGGCCCGGGGCGGGGCAGCCCGCGGACGCCGATCGCCGGGCTCTGGAGCTGTGCACGGACCTCCTCCCGCCTCGTCCCTGCCCGGCTTTCTCGCCCAAACGGCCGGTGGCGCAGCCGCCGCCCTCGAAAGGCGGCCGGGAGGAGCCGGCGGGAGGCGGGCGGGGACCGCCCTGCTTGTGCTGCATCGCGAGGCGCATCCCGGCCGCTGGCGGGCGGGGTCCGGGGCGGCGGCGCGGGAGGCCGTGCCGGGAATTGGGGACGGCCTCGGCGGGTGGGGACCGCAGGGCCGAGCGGGGTAGGCCGGGTGGCCCGTGCTGGCGCCGCGCGGGTCCTCTCTTACCGGCAGATCTGGATGGCGGACGGCGTCTCGACGTCTGGGCCCGACATGCTGGCGGCTGCTGCGACGGCGGGTGGCTGCAGGAGGGCGCAGGTGTCTGGCAGGCCCGGCGCGGAATGAATGAGCCGGGGCGGCGCCATGGAGGGGGAGGGCGGAGGCGGAGCCATGGCGCCGGTGAGGCGGGGCCTGCGCGCCGGGGGCGAATCTAACGCGGCCTCCCCGCGCAGGCCCCGCCCCCGCGCTGGCCCCGCCCCGCTCCCCGTCCCCCGGGCCGCCAAGGCCGCCGCGGGCTCGCGCGGGCGTCCGGTTCCGACGGCGTGAGGGCCGCGGCGGGCGCCGCTTCCAGAAGGTTCTGCGGCGGTTGGGCCGCGCCGGCGCGGGAAAGGCCCGCGAGCCGCGGCGGCCGCGTCCGACCCGGTGACAGTCCCGAGGGAAGCGGCCCGAGTGGCGTAGGCGGGGCGGACGTGGGCCTCGCTCTCCCCGCGGCGGTAAATATTTGTGCGGGGCGTTCCCGGCCGGCCGCGCAGCCGATTCGCTACCGCGCCGGGCGCCTGGGCGGCCGGATGAGGTCACGGCGGAAGGCCCGGCCGGGGCGCCTGGCTGTCTGGCCCGAGGCCCACCCCGCCCCCGCCCCACCCGGGCCCCGGGCGCCGGCATCCGCGGCTCTCTGCGGTCCGCCCTGAGAGAATGGAAGGCTGTTTCCCGGAAAGGAGTGTTGGTGGCGGCTGCTGGGAAGCACACGGGCGCGCACTCGGGGCACGGAACCGGGTTTTGCTGCAGCGGCACAAAGCGTCAGGAGGTGGGGAGGAGAAAAGGCCCGCGCCTGTTTACACCGCCGGATGCGGCTTTTCCCGGGAGCGCTGAGCGCCAGCCTGGAGGTGCACGTGTTGCAGCGAGGAAGCCTGAAACGTGCCGCGTTTTACAGCACACGATGTGCCCCGGAATGGAGTCCAGGCTACTCGGAATCACCAAAAAGAAAAAAAAAAAAAAAAAAAAAAAAAATCCACCCAAAAAACATCCAAGAGGGGAGAAGCGGTCGCACCCACGTGCTGGAATGTCAGCTTTTTGCTTCCTAGCCAGTTTGACCTTTTCCAAATTTCTACAGTACGCATAGATTTGTACTCACATCTTTAAATGAAAACCCACGCAACTCCAGCTCCCCAGTGCAATTTGAACGAGCCATTTGCACTCAGCTAGGTGGCTCTAAAGAACTGTGCCTCATCCTGGTCACCCTCGAGCTACCAGACCGTGAAGGCAGCCCACAGCACGGTCTATAACTCCCAGGAGCAGGGGCAGCCCAGGTCAGAACTTCGTGATTTCAGGACTTTTACACCACGAATTTCGTTTTTCTGTTTTGTTTTTCTGAGACGGAGTCTCGCTCTGTTGCCCAGGCTGAAATGCAGTGGTGTGATCGCAGCTCACTGCAACCTCTGCCTTCCAGATTCAAGCGATTCCCCTGCCTCATTCCCCAACCCCGAGCAGCTGGGACCACAGGTATTCACCACCATGCTTGGCTAATTTTTGTATTTTTAATAGAGATGGGTTTTCACCATGTTGGCCAGGCTAGTCTCAAACTCCTGATCTCAGGTGATCCTCCCTTCCCAGCCTCCCAAAGTGCTGGGATTACAGGTGTGAGCCACTGTGCTGGCCACAGAATTTTGTTTTCTCGTGAGAATCAAGTTGATGCAAGCAAGTCGATCAACAGCCTGCATGCCTGTTTAAACACCACCTCTTCCCAATTGAATCCTGAAATGGTTGGAAGCTGTAACTAGATTTGGAGCTGCAGGCAAGATAGTTTCCCTTTGAAAAAAAACGAAAACAAAAACAAAAAAACAGTAGGCTGAGGCAGGAGAATCGCTTGAACCCAGGAGGCAGAGGTTGCGGTGAGCCGGGATCGCGCCATTGCACTCCAGCCTGGGTAACAAGAGCGAAACTCCGTCTCAAAAAAAAAAAAAAAAAAAAAAAATAGCCGGGTGCGGTGGCTCACACCTGTAATCCCAGCACTTTGGGCGGCCGAGGCGGGTGGATCACGAGGTCAACAGATGGAGACCATCCTGGTCAACGTGGTGAAACCCCATCTCTTCTAAAAATACAAAAAATTAGCTGGGCATGGTGGCGTGTGCCTGTAATCCCAGCTACTCAGGAGGCTGAGGCAGCAGAATTGCCTGAACCCAAGAGGCGGAGGTTGCGGTGAGCCGAGATGGCGCCATTGCACTCCAGCCTGGGTAACAAGAGCGAAACTCCATCTAAAAAAAAAAAAAAAAAAAAAAAAAAAGCTTTTGAGACAGGGTCTTGGCTCTGTCGCTCAGGCTGGAGTACAGTGGCGCGATCTTCAAGCAGCCCTCCCACCTCAGCCTCCTGAGTAGCTGGAATCACAGGCACGTGCTACCATGCTCAGCTAATTTTTGTACTTTTTTGTGTAGAAGGAGCCTCACGCCGGGCGCGGTGGCTCAAGCCTGTAATCCCAGCACTTTGGGAGGCCGAGGCGGGTGGATCACGAGGTCGAGAGATCGAGACCATCCTGGTCAACATGGTGAAACCCCGTCTCTACTAAAAATACAAAAAACTAGTTGGGCGTGGTGGCGCGTGCCTGTAATCCCAGCTACTTAGGAGGCTGAGGCAGGAGAATTGCCTGAGCCCAGGAGGTGGAGGTTGCGGTGAGCCGAGATCGCGCCATTGCACTCCAGCCTGGGTAACAACAGCGAAACTCCGTCTCAAAAAAAAAAAAAGAAGAAGAAGAAGGAGCCTCACCAGATTGCCCAGGCTCATCTTGAACTCCTGGGCTCAACTGATTCACCTGCCTTGGCCTCCTAAAATGCTACGATTATGTGTGTGCGTCACTGTTCCTGGCCTGGCAGTTTCCTTACCTGTGATACGGGGGTGATAAATCTCTTCCCGTCCATTATGAGGACTACCTGGAAGGCTGAGTTAGGGCCTTTCTTCCTCTTCCCTCGTCAAACCTTCAGTTTCTCTATTCCGATCTTCCCCAACTGTTGAGTGCAGCAAGAATTTACTGAGACCCTACTCTCCCTGTATAGATGTGCTTGCATTACAAACATTCCATTGTTCATAATCTTTAGGCCGGGCGAGGTGGCTCATGCTTGTAATCCCAGCACTTTGGGAGGCCGAGGCGGGTGGATCACAAGGTCAAGAGATCGAGACTCCTGGTCAACATGGTGAAACCCCGTCTCTACTAAAATACAAAAATTAGCTGGGCATGGTGGCGCATGCCTGTAGTCCCAGCTACTCAGGAGGCTGAGGCAGGAGAATTGCTTGAACCCAGGAGCCGGAAGTTGCGGTGAGCAGAGATCGCACCACTGCACTCCAGCCTGGGTAGCAAGAGTGAAACTCCGTCTCAATCAATCAAAAAAGAAAGAAAGAAAGGCCGGGCGCGGTGGCTCAAGCCTGTAATCCCAGCACTTTGGGAGGCCGAGGCGGGTGGATCACGAGGTCAACAGATGGAGACCATCCTGGTCAACGTGGTGAAACCCCATCTCTTCTAAAAATACAAAAAATTAGCTGGGCATGGTGGCGCGTGCCTGTAATCCCAGCTACTCGGGAGGCTGAGGCAGGAGAATTGCCTGAACCCAGGAGGCGGAGGTTGCGGTGAGCCGAGATCGCGCCATTGCACTCCAGCCTGGGTAACGAGTGAAACTCCATCTCAAAATAAATAAATAAATAATAATAAAAAAATTAAAAAATAATAAAAAGTCTTTAAAATCTGCCTGGCATGAGGGCCTGCAACCCATAGTTCCGGGAGGCTGAGGCAGGAGGATCCCCTGAACCTAGGAGTTTGAGGCTACAGTGCCCTCTGATGGCACCTGTAAACAGCCACAGCCCTCCAGCCTGAGCAACATAGTGAGACTCTGTCTCTTAAAAAAAAAAATTCAAATTCTGACTGGGTAACAAATTAGGGACGAAAAAAGTTGGATTCCAACTACACATTGAACCAGAGGGACATCTAGATTGGAGGATGGGTGAGTGGTTTAGGATGAAATAGCCTGTGCCCTCCAGAGTGAGGCCAAAAAGTGATCTGGAACGGCTCCTATGCTTCTGGGAAAGGGTGTGGCTCCCCTTTGGCCTGAGACAGCATCTGTAATGCTGCTCGCATCATGGCCTAGCAGGTGGTAGACGGACCCATAAAGGATAACAGCTCAGCCCAGAGGTTACTGTGTACTGATTCCGTACTGCAAGGAGAAAATAGTGCTCCAGATTATTTACGATGTCCCCCTGCTTTTAAGGATGGCATTTGGTGGGGAGGGGGTCCCATTCCTTAGCAAAAACCTTGTGAATATTTTTGGCCATAGTGCTAATAGATTTACACTGATTTTTCACTTTCCACAGCCTCTCACCTTCTCATGTTAGGCTCTTTTCTTTTTTTTTTTTTTTTTTTTTTTTTTTTATGAGAGGGAGTTTCGCTCTTGTTACCCAGGCTGGAGTGCAATGGCGCGATCTCGGCTCACCGCAACCTCTGCCTCCTGGGTTCAGGCAATTCTCCTGCCTCAGCCTCCTGAGTAGCTGGGATTACAGGCACGCGCTACCATGCCCAGCTAATTTTTTGTATTTTTGGTAGAGACGGGGTTTCACCATGTTGACCAGGATGGTCTCGATCTCTTGACCTCGTGATCCACCCGCCTCGGCCTCCCAAAGTGCTGGGATTACAGGCTTGAGCCACCGCGCCCGGCCGTTAGGCTCTTTTCTACTTGCCTTTCAAGCTACTGGGCCATTTCTATCCCTGCTTTCAGCAAAACATCTCAAAAGAGCAACACACGCTCTCCCCTCACCTCTCCTCCCATTCTCCTTTGAACCCATTCCAGTTTGGTTTTTTATTCTACCGGTCAATCTGTCAAGGTCACTAATTCCCTCCAAGTTGCTAAATCCGATAATCTGCTGTCAGAAGTCATTTTCCTTGACCTCTCAACAACGTTGAGCAGATGTGACCCCTCTCTCTTGGAAGCACTCCTCCCTGGCATCCATTTTCCTCCCTTGCTGGCCACTGCTCAGCCTGCTCTGCTGGCACTGCCTCCCCACCTCCTCTCAGAAGCTTAGGCAAGCCCCCAGCAGTGCTTGAACTCTTGAGGTCTCATTCTGTCTCATCACTTTACTTTTTTTTTTTTTTTTAATTCAGACGGTTTAATTCTGTCAAGGCTGAAATGCAATGGTGCAATCACAGGTCATTGCAGCCTTGGCCTCCCAGGCTCAGGTGATCCTCCCATGTCAGCCTCCTGAATAGCTGGGAACACAGGCACATACTACCATGCCTGGCTATTTAGAGACCACAGGCTGGTCTCAAACTTCTGGGCTCAAGCAGTCCACCCATCTCGGCCTCCCAAACCAAAGTGCTGGGATTACAGGCATGAGCCACCACACCTGGTGTCTCGTCATACAATTTTTATTTTTTTGAGACAGAGCTGTCTCCCAGGCTGGAGTACAGAGGCACGATCTTGGCTTACTGCAACCTCCGCCACCCAGGTTCAAGAGATTCTCATGCCCCA